AATATTTACATAAAGTCAAATAATAATAATGGCAAAATCAAACAACTGTGTGAGAAATATAGAAATGTATGTATAAATGTAGGGGTTTATGATAAGAATTCAGGATTATGTCATTGATACCAAAATTTACAGAAAGATTGTTGTTTATCCTTCACTCTCAAATAGCACCATGACATCATAAAGATGATGCCATGATTTGCAAGAGAATTGGATTTAAGTGTAGGAGGCCTGTACGTCAGCCTCACTTTCTCCTCTGCAGCCATCTGGGTCCTTTGGCAAGATACAGATCAGGATAACCAGAGATGGCCCTTGATGCAGTAGGGGACCTTGGCATTTTTAAGCTAAGGTCTCAATTTGACTGAGGTAATGCCCATTCAGTGATTGAGGCTAGGTTTAAAAAAAAAAGAGGCAAAGAATGATATGTTTTACCTAGTCAAAAAAATCAATCTGGGAGTTGAAGACTCTCATGGTTTCGTGGAAAAAACAATTACAATTTATGTTTTCTGTAAGCCATCAGGGCCCAAATAATGTCTAGATGGAACTTGGGCTCAGACCTGTTTTTGGCCAATCAGTGAAAGCCAGAGTGATTTAAGTTTAAGGCATGGTCCTTATGAAAGAAATCCATCCCATAAACCCCAAGATATCTTGCAAAGTTACTTTTAAGGGGCTATAATTAAAATACAGAGCATGCATTCAAGTAACAGAAACTGTGCAGCAAATGACTACATGTGGTAAAAATTTAGCATCTACCAGATACCTAAAAAGACAGGATTAGGTAGCTAGAATTATACTTTAGAATTCTGCTTTCCTTTGTAAACTATAAGTTGGAAGACAAAACTTAGAGAAGCACCAAAAATGTCCTTGAGAATTTAACAAACAAACTATGTTATATTGTTACATAGAAAAATATTGCCCACAATCATGCATTAATCACTATGGATAATATTTTAATAGTTGTCACCACAGTGAATATTCATAATCTCAATGAAATTTTAAAAAATCAAACATCTCATCCTTGTCATGCTGGCTGCTACTGAAGGTGACGCAGAGATGTTTTAGTGAGCCTATAGAATGTGCATTTACACTTCAATACTTGTATTCAATTATAAAAAGCAGATACTTCATCCACCTGGGCCATAATTAAGCAAGTATCACAGGATAGCTACTTATACTTAAATTCTTTCTTTCTGGATCTTACTAAAAAAAAAAGATCAGAATAAGACACTACTATCTAAAGCACAAACATAGATCAATAGCTATCTAGCATTTACATACTCACTTTAAGGTTGAGAAAATATATTACACATTTTATCTGATTTCATCACCATAAACTATGAGATAATTACTATTATTAGCCTCATTTTTGCAGACAAGGAAACTGAGGCTGACACTATATAAATGACTTGCTCAAGAATACATAATAAGTGTCTGAGTCTAAATTTTGTCTTCCTGATTCCAAGACCTGCACTACATCTACTGGACCAACTAGGACAAAACTGTGCAACATATCACTAAGGTAATGAAAGTTTAGCATCTACTAAATATATAGGAATATATGATCTTGTATCTTGAACTGTTCAACAAAAATTTTCTACCTGTCAAATATTGACAGATAACAAATATTTGTTATAAAAATACTGATCTTCAAATGTCCTTGAAAAATCAATAGATAAACTATGTGCTGCAACTAGATGTTTGTCAAGGAGAGAACTGTTGCGCCCAATCACCTGGACACAGAATGGTTCCATCAAAAAATTAAGAATGTTATTTTAATAAATGTTGACATGACAAAATATTTGTAAATCACAAAGTTTTATGAAGAAAGAAAAACTTTTAATATATAGACTATATTTTATAATGAAGCAAGTAGTATGGATAAGGGATGACTACTTTACTACCATCAGAATGAGTTATAGTTTGAGATGTGACATGTAAACCTTTTCATACTTTAAATATATTTTTTTCACAATTTTGGAGATGTCCTTTATTACTTCTTCTTCTACTACACACACACACACACACACACATGCATTCATGTTTTATCATTCTACCAACAATCATTATAGATGTTCTTTCCATTTTTCTTTGTTTTTGCTATTTCAGGTTAAATGATTTATTCTTTTAATGTTTCTTAAGTTGTTTTTGCGATCAAGATCTGTTAGTACCTACTTGAGATAACAAAAATAAAATTACATTTTTATTTCCTTTTTTTTAATTTGGAGGTTCATTTTTTTCTAAATGAAAGGAATCCAAAACATTTACAAGTTGAATTTTAGTATACTGAACTAAGATTTTCTCATGATTTGAAGGCATGCATATATGTGTATGTGTGTTTATATATGTGCATGTGTTTATGTATATGTGCATATACACACATACATTCAGACAGTATAGGAGTATAAGACTAAGAAATTGAAAATTCAAATAACAATTTCTAAGCTACATCATCACTCATATAAAGACCAATATTCTCCTCTGTCTTGCCTTCTAAACATTGGGAAGACTGGAATGCTATTGACATTCATCCAGAGTAGGAATCATATGTAGTATGAAAATATCAAATGTGGCAAAGTAAGAAAAATAAATAACTTGGAAGTCAAGAACTTGGATTCTGGTCCAAGTTCTACCAGTAACTAGCTATGTGACCTTTAGTGAGTCACTTCAACTCTCTGCATCTCAGTTTCTTTTATCTACAAAATTAAAGTTATCTCTCAGTTCCTTAAAACTTTAATATGTTATTACACTATTGTTCATCCTGAGAAAATATCTAAGTGGCAGAAAGAATAAATAATGGGAAAACTGCGTTAGAGTAGAGCATGAGAGGCGAGGAGTAACAAAAGCAGAATAAAGGTACAATGATGAGGATATAATAAGGCTGTGTATTACAACTAAAATTTAAAAGGAAAAGTACACTTCTATTATGAAAATAGATACTTTCTAAGGAAGGCTTGCTACTAACGGAATGATCAAGCCTTCTTGTAATACCTTGTATTTTCTTTGAAAGTCTTTCTCCAAAATTATGCAACAATGCTCCTAATCTTTTCACAAAAAACAACAACAAACAGACCTGTGCCCTGCCATAAATGTTTAAAACTAAAAATTATTTATAATTTCATGACAAATCTAATCTTAAAATATAGTAAATACAAGTAAAATAGATATATATGTATTTTGTAAAAGTAAAACATTTGGTAAAACTAATATATTGAAAATTCTGAAATTATGTGCAATATCCCAAACTCATAGTCCTCTACCTCTGCAAGAAATGATGGAAATATATTCTGATATATCTTTTTTTTAAAGCTTTGTCACTATAATTTCACAACTCCATTTTTATTATTATGATTTCCTTTTCCATTGTGCTTGTATTTTGATTCCTGTTTTGGCTTTACATTTGTCAGTGAATGCTTAAAGAAAACATCTGAAATTACTTTATGATTGAGCATTGACTAGAAATCTCTACAAATATAAGCATGGGAGGCTTACATATATATATATATATATATATATACACACATACACATACATATACACATATACATGTATATATATACATATATGTGTTTATATAAATATAATGTATTTTTATATTCATATTGTAAAATTTTGAATTCCAAATTTTCTCCCCACTCTCTCCCCTCCCCTACCTATTGAGAAGGCAAGTAATATAACATTTATACATGTGAAGTCATGCAAAACAGAGAGGAGCACTAGCATCCATAACTGAAGAAGAGCAGTGGACCTGATCCCAGGAAAAAGGAGAGCTACTGTTTGTGATTACAGGGAAGCAGGAGCTCTTCCTAAAGCCCAGAGCACAGACTATTCCTACAAGGGTAGATGATATTTGTAACTCCTAAGAACTTCATTAGAAATAGAGTAGGAGTATACAGAAACAGAGGGCGTGGGTGTAAATTGACTATGATAAGATGATTTTTTAAAATACACTGAAGGGGTGAGAATGACAGATGAACTGAGAGAGGGGGGAAGGGATAAGTAGAATGGTGAACATTATCTCACATAAAAGAGGCATAAAAGGAAGAGCTTTTACAGTTGAGGTGAAGATACGCATAGCAGTTAAGGCTGGAACCTCATTCTCATCAGAATTAGCTCAGAAAGGTCATAATATAGATACTATTTGGGTGTAGAAATCTATATAGCACTACAAGGAAGAAAGAGGGGAAGGAGAAAAGAAAGGGATGCTAATAGAAGGTAAGGTACATTAAGGAAAGAAGTGTTCTAATTTTTAAATTTTTTGAGTAAGAATGGGAGAGAGAGATTGAGAGAGAGATTGAGAGATAGAGAGATAGAGAGAGAGAGAGAGAGAGAGAGAGAGAGAGAGAGAGAGAAAAGGATGGAGGGAAAAATACAGTAATCATAACTGTGAATATAAATACGATGTACTTACTCATAAAATCGAATCAACACGGTGGGTTAAAAATCACTATCTGACAATATGTTGTTTACAAGAAACATACTCGAAGTAGAGAGAATTGCAGAGTAAAAGTAAGGGGCTGGAGCAGAGTTTATTACACTTCAGCCGATGTAAAAAAGAAAAGTAGGTCCTGACTAAATCTCTTCGCATTTGTTCTTAAAAGCGAAGTTTAGAGCTTGTGTTGGAAAATACCGAATAATATTTGCCAATTCGCCGTGCCGATAACTGAAGAAACTCTGCTCGCACAGGATAAGCAGGCAGTCCATGATGCCCTTGTACCTTGGAGAGCTGATCTGCTTGGATGACGTCTGCACCTGACGTAACAGCTTCAAGCTTTCCACGGGCGCCCCCGCTGTCTTGGGTATGGTGGCCGTGATGCAACCCGCCAGGAGGTCCTTGCTGAAGGGCACCAAGTCCAGCATCTGCTGCTGCTTCTCGGGCTAAACTTAGCCCTTGAGCTTGGTCACCATGATTTGGATGGTGGAGGTGTGGATGAAAAAGGTCTCTACTCTCACTTAGAACTGGCAGGTTTAAAAACAAACAAAACAAAACAAAACAAAACAAAACCAAAACAAAACGGTTAGATGCCACAGAGTAGGTGACAATGCCTTAACCTTATATGTGTTGTAAAGGCCACTAGGTCCTTGCTTGTCATTGTCAAGTGAAATGCTAACCTTCTCTCCTTTCATACAACAAATAGATTTTAACATCAGGAGTTAACAAAGATAAACAGTTCTGGAGGTGGTTTTGAGCTAATCTAGCTTCAGGTGGAGCTGCTCAATCAACATCCCTATGTGTAGTATATCTACTAGATTAGAGGCTGAAAAAGTCTGAAAGAAAGGCATTTCAAAGATTTAGAGGACTGCATTTTCAAGATAGCAAAACCCAATGGTATCACTGGTTATACCAAGAGTTTAATGTTTCTTTGCAGGTTATCAGTGTGTATAGAGCCTTTGTTTTGGATCTTATGACACAATTAAGAGCTTATTACCAAATCCCAGAAAACCTCATACCTTGGGTCATTTTTAGGTGCTCAAGTGGTGACTACCTGCTCTGGAATACTGTCTTATCCTTTTGACATAGGAGGCTTATGATGATGCAGAGTGGTGAGGCTGAGTGCCAATACTAGGGAAGCCTTGACTATTTTTTGAAGATCTACCAACATGAAGGCTTGAAGGCTTTCTTCTGTTGAGTCTTCTCTAAAGTCTTTAGGGGTACAGGTAGTGCCTTAGTGCTGATCTTGTATGAAAAAATCAAAGAGCTGTTAAATATTGACATTGGAGGAAGTTCGTCAGAATAAATGGCAGGAGTATAGAGCTTCCTTGTTTGATGTACCTGTTACAGAGTTATCATTTGTATAATTGTTAGCTTATTACATGTCAGTATTTTCTTAACTTGCTAATTCTGTGACTAAACTCTGGGTATTTTCAAGGATTTAAATACTGTCAGTCAGATAGTTATGTGCTTCTTCACTCTTTCCCATGAAACATTTTGCATTTTTCCACCAGCAGTACATGCTATTTCTATCATTATAAAATATTTTGTTTTTCTTATAAAAATGAAAATGGAAACCCAAAGAACTCTTGCATTTTCATTGCAGTGGAGTATCCTCCCATGATCTCCTTTACAAATGGGCTCTGTGGCCTAGCGCCCCCTTCCCTCGCGTCTGGGTTTCACTTCCAGCAACAGCTCCTGTGGAAGTGCTGAGTATTCTGGGGAAGTGATCCCCCACCATCCTGGTCTTCCCAAATCAGACCCAGGCCACTGGTGGGCAAGCTTCTTCTTCAGAAAGTCAAGTCATCCATTCATGACAACTGTATTGGAATCCCCAGAGCACTCAGGAACTTTCCACATTGCTCATGGCACGATTACCTGTGACCTGGCTCAGGATGCCATGAGGAAGCGGCATGTCAGCGAGCCCAGCAAGACTAGCACTGGACCTTCTGCATGAGCAGCAGCACCCTTCTTGCTGCTCGCCCCACTTCTGAAGCGTGCTAGGCATCAGAGCCCATTTCCCCCTCCCTTCTCCTCCCCTCCCCTCCCTTCCCTCTCCCACCTATTCCCTTAGAATAGACTGAATGCTTAAGTGTAGAAGTAGTTGTGTTGTGTGTTTGGTTTTTTTTTTTAGGAAAACAAAAGCAAAACACCAAAAAAACAGTAAAAGAAACCACACTGTTATTGTTCATTTGTTTGTTTTTTTACTATCTGAATCACCTATGTGCCAGCAGCCTCAGTAACTTGTTTACTTTGTACTCAATGGAAACTAATAAACTTTGAGCAGCCTTTTAATGGAAAAAAACATAAAAATAAAAATGCATGTTTAAAACCTGAAAAAAAAACAAGAAAAGTAGGGGTAACAATCAAGATCTCAAACAAAGCAAAAGTTAAATCAATCTAATCAAAAGAGATAAACAGGCTAACTATATTTTGCTAAAATGAAGTAATAGCAATCCTACACATATATGTACCAAATGGTAAAGAATAAAATTCTTAAAGAAAAGTTAAATGAGTTACATGAGAAAATAGACAGTATAACTATACTAGTGGGGGACCTCAACTTTCTGCTCTCAGAACTAGATAAATCTAACCAAAATATAAATAAAAAAGAAGTTAAGGAGATGAATAGAACTTTAGGAAACTTGGACATGATATATCTCTGGAGAAAACTGAATGGAAATAAAAAGAAATATATCTTTTCCTTGGGGGCACATGACACTGACACAAAAATTGACCATGTAATAGGCAGTAAAAATCTCACAATTAAATGCAGAAAACCAGAAATATTACATACATCTTTATCAGATCATAATACAATAAAAATTACATTTAAAAAAGGCCCACAAACATAATTTTAAAATGGTAACTAAATAATCTAATCCTAAAGAATGAGTTAGCAAAAGAACAAATCATAAAAAATAATAACTAATATCATTAAATAGAATGGAACCAATAAGACAATATAGCACAATTTATGGGATGAAGCCAAAACAGTACTTAGGGAATTTTTTTTTAATCTCTAAATACTTACATCAATAAAATAGAGGAAGAGTAGATCAACGAATTAAGCACACAACTACAGACTAAAAATCTCCAATTAAACACCAAATAGGAAATTCTGAAAATCAAAGGAGTAATTAATGCAATTGAAAGAAAGAAAGTAACTGAACTAATAAATAAAACTAGAAGCTGGTTTTATAAAATGCAAAAATAAAATAAACAATTGTTTAATTTGATTTTAAAAAGGAAAGATACCAAACTACCAATATTAAAAAAATGAAAAGAGTGAATTCACCACCAATGAAGAGGAAATTAAAGCAAATATTAGGGGTTATTTTGCCCAGTTATATGCCAATATATCTGACAATCTAAGCAAAATGGATGAATATTTACAAAAAGTACAAATTACATAGATTTGTAGAAGAGGCAAAAGAATACTTAAACAACTCAATCATAGAAAAAGAAATTGAACAAACCATGAATGTGCTGTCCTAGAAGAAAATCCACAGGACCAGATGGTTTCACAAGTGAATTCTACAAAATATTTAAAGAACAACTAATTCTAACACTTATATAAACTATTTGGGGAAAAAAATAGGAAAAATAGGAGTCTTACCAAATTCCTTCTACAACACAAATATGGTTTTGATACCAAAACCAGGAAGAGGAAAAATAGAGGAAGAAAACTATAAATGACTTTACTTATTGAATATTAATTCAAAAAAATAAAATACTAGCAAGGAGTTTACAGCAATATATCATAATGATCATACACTATGGCCAGGTAAGATGTATGTCAAGAATGAAGGGTTGGTTGAATATTGGGAAAACTATCAGCATAATTGACTATAACAATAAAATATAATATGTCTATCTCAATAGATGCAGGAAAAAGCTTTTGATACTCATTTCTTTCAAAAAACACTGAAAAGCATGGGAAGTAGTGTAGCTTTCTTTAAAATGATAAGTATCAGTTATCTAAAATCATCATCGAGCATATCAGAAGACATAGAAAGAGAAATTCCATTTAAAATAACTGTAGATGATACAAAATACTTGGGAGTCTACCTGCCAAGATAAGCCCAGGAACTATATGAACACAATTACAAAACATTTTTTACACAAATAAAGTCAGATCTAACAATTGGAGAAATATTTATTTTTATTGGTACACCAAACCAATATAATTAAAATGATGATTCTACCTAAATCAATTTATTTATTCAGTGTCATACCAATCAATTAACAATATAAATATACTAAAAATAGAAAAATAATTTTAAAAATTCATCTGGAAGAACAGAAGGTCAAGAATATAATGGGAATCAATAAAAAATGTGAAGGAAAGTGGACTTGCAGTACCAGATTACAAAGTGTATTACAAAGAGTAATAACCAAAATAATTTGGTATTAGCTAAACAATCAAGTGGTAGATGAGGGGAAGAGATTAATCACACAATGCACAGTGGTAAATGACCATAGCAATTTAGTGTTTCATAAATGAAAATATTCAAGCTTTGGGATCAAGAACTCACTACTCAAGAAAAATTGTTGGTAAAACCAGAAAACAAGTACAGATCAATATCTCACACAGCATTTCAAGAAAAGGTCAAAATGGATACATGATTTTGACATAAAGGATGATATTATAAGTAAATTAGGGGATCATGGAAATTTTATCTTGTCAAATCTATGGATAAGGGAAGAATTTATGACCAAACAAGAGGTAGAGAGCATGATGTGATGGCAAATGGATATTTTTGATTAATTTTGATTTGATCATATTTTTTATTTTTGATTAAAAAGTATTTGTACAACAAAACCAACGTAGCTAAGATTAGAAATAAAACAGAAAACTGGGGGTAAATCTTCACAGCACATGTCTCTGAATAAAGGCCTCATTTCTCAAACCTACAGAGAAATGATTAGAATTTATAAGAGTACAAGTCATTCCCCAATTGATAAATGGTCAAAGGATATGAGCAGGCAATGTTCAGATGAAGAAATAAACATTGTCTAAAGTTATATAAATTGATCTAAATTATTTATTAAATAAATACAAATTAAAACAATTCTTAGGTATCACCTTATACCTATCAGATTGGTTAGTATGACAGAAAAGGAAAATGACAAATTTTAGAGGAGATGTGGGAAAATTTGGACACTAATGCACTGCTGGTGGAGTTGTGAATTGATCCAACCATTCTGGAGAGCAATTAAGAACTCTGTCCAAAAGGCTATCTAACTGTGTACCCCCTTTGACCCAGTTATACCACTCCTATGTCTGTATCCCAAAGCGATAAAAGGGGAGGACCTATTTGTATGAAAATATTCATAGTAGCTCTTTTTATGGTGGCAAAGAATTGGCAGCTGAAGAGATGCCCATCAATTGGGGCCTGACTGAACTAGTTCTGGTATGTGATTGTAAACCTGGAAAAAGGCAAAATGAAGTGAACAGAACCAGAACAGTGCACACAGTAACAGGAATAGGGTATGATGATCAACTGTGAATGACAGCTATTCTCAGCAAAATTATCATCCAAGACATATCACAGTACTCATGATGAAAAATCTACCCACCTCTAGAGAAAGAACTCATGGAGTCTGAATACAGATCGAAGCATAATACTTTTCATTTTCTTTATCTTAATTGTGGGTGTTTTTTGTTTTTTGGTCTGTGTTTTCTTTCACAACATGAC